CCCCAAAACCCCAAAACCCCAAAACCCCATGAGTGATTATTATAGACAATTTAGCTAAGCATGAGATTAAATTAATAATCAATGTTTTAATATTTATGCATAAAAAATAGTAATTAACTTATAAATCTCAAATATGGATGGTTATGATGCCCTTTAGTGGGTATTTACATTTCTAATGACAATAGCTAGTATTGTTTACTCCAATTATGTTGTCAAATATACATAAATATTCAAAAATTAAAAGGAGCCCTACTCATTTATATGCTTTGCTCTTGTATTCCTATCTTTGCTTTGTAAAATAGTGCTTAGAATGATTTCTCTAATAGGAATAGAACTACAAAACACTAATTTTAACACATATGCCTGATAGCCAGATCTATATTTCGATGACTTTTTATATTGCACTTTTAATCTTTCAAGTGTCATTCCAACTTGGCTATTTCTATGCGCTATGATAGTCAATTGTGTTCGGTGGCTTTAATTACTTTTACAGCATAAGAATATAAAGTTATCTAAGATATCAACTATTCTTTGTTGAACTTTAATAATCATTCTTGTTGGTGTATGCTTTGGGTGTATTATAATCGAAGTTTTAAGTTTTACTAAACACATCCAAGTATCAAGTAACTTATAAATGAATACTTTGGAAGCAGCTACCTTTCAACTAAATATTTTCATGAACATTATCTTGGCTATTGTTTTTCTTTACGTAAACATATTTTTTGTGAAGTACTATAATGATTAAATGAAAAATAGAGAGGGATTTTATTCTGAAGATGACATAGTTGGACTTAACAAAAACAAATCCTAGATTAAATTTTTCTTTTCAATTCTAATAGCAATAATACTTATCAGGCAGATTCCATGGGATTTGAGCATATTGGATTATTATTACTAATTAAATTTAAGCTAGTATTTGAATAGCTATCTCACTACAACTATTTTTTTCTGTTGTGAACTCACCCTGGTGATTTTACTAACTTAGTCTATAAAATGGTCTCTGTTTACTTATTAGCAGTATTAAAAGATGAGATATATGAGAGTTAGTACTGCAAGTAGAAAGATATCCTCCAGCATTGACGTTGATATTTAGTTTGATAAAAGTGTCAGGACAGAATCCTTTGATGACATGATTTAAGATGATGGAATAGGAAGTAAAAAAAGCAAGGAGTTAAGGTCGGCAAAATAACCTTTCATCCAGATTGAGGAATCAATAAATCCTTTCAGTGATCCCCTTTGGGAAAGATTTTTAGAGCCAAGCTTAAAGAATCAAGATCTCCTATCACTAAAGAAAATCTACAATAGTAAAACTAATGAAGCTTCGATGATCGAATAATAATAAGCAGATAGCTATTCCAAAATAAAACTATAAGCCCAAAAACATAATTGACTTTGAACATTATCAATATATATATCTATTTTATTCGAAATTGGTAATTCTTAATTTATTAATCTGAAATTATAATCTAAAACTTTATATCTTTGTTTAAATATTAAACTCATTTACTGGCAATATTGACTTATGGGGTTTTGGGGTTTTGGGG